CAATAGATCCTCCACTACTGTCACTTTTTTTTTTCCTCTATCTTTCAATTCATCCAGCTATTAATAAATTCACTTCAAGTCCCATTACTTTAGTCTGATTCAGGTTAACATGCTTAATGAAGCAAGATAATGCAGTGGTTAAGAGCAGATCAAAGGAGCCAAACTGCTTTGCTTCAACTTCAGCTCCATCTTATAAATTATTTGTTCAAGCTTTTTACCACCTTCCATTCTATCATTTTCCCTTTTTAAAAATAAAAATAATACTATCTACCTCATCTGTTTGTGGATGAAGATTACAGGAGTTAACACAGGTGAAGCACTTAGTATAGTACCCAGCATATACTAAGTAGTAACATGCACATTAGTTTGGTTTTTTTTCCATAATTTCATTGAGAAACAAACAGCAATGAGACAGTTTTAAACCAAATTGGTAGGACAGTTTTGACTGCACATTAGTTTTGTCACTTCTGTTGTTCTCATTGCCATCATCATGAAAATCATTCCACAAATCAATCTTCCCATTTCAAGCACAAAGGAAACACCTCAATCAACACTTGCCAAATTTAACGTGTTGCTGCAATCATATCACTATTAAATACAAATTCCTCAACCACAATCAACCCAATCTGTATTTTCATGCTTATCATTTCTAGCTTATCATTCTTTTCTTTTTTTTTTTTTTTTTTTTTTTTTTTTTTTTTTTTTTTTTTTTTTTTTTTTTTTTTTTTTTTTTTTGGCAGTACTAGGGATTGAACTCAGGACCCTGCGCTTGCCAGGCAAGCACTTATTCTACCGAGCTATCTCCCCAGCTCTCTAGCTTATCATTCTTGACTTCTAATCAGTTCAACAAACTGAACCTTTCCTACATTTAAAATATTCAAAATGTTTACAATCTTAAATTCTAAAAACATTGTGCATGTCATTCACAACACAAGTCACTGACATCCATCCATTTAACACTCCTACCCTCATAGGAAGTGCTGTCAAATTCCCACAAGCCTGACCTTTTCTTTTTCCTAGCTCTACCTCACTCAGGCTTACCTGTATTTGTTTTATCCACTCACCATATCATAAGTTAGCAGTTCACAGCTTCAGAAACTCTATTGATTTTACACTTTTTTTAAAAAAAGCTATGGGGGGCCAGTGAGATAGCTCAGTGGACCAAGTGCCTACTTAGGCAAGCGCAAGGACCAGGGTTCAATTCCAGGCACCACATGTCACGCCAGGCACGCCTGCCTTGCTCCCAGACGCACTGAGACAGTCACCAAGAAAGGCACACATCTGTAGTCCCAACACTGGGAAAGCTGAAAACAGGAGGATCACTACAAATCTGAGCTGCGTAGTGAGACCCTGTACCAAATATATAAGAAATAAAAATTAAATTTAACAAATATGCACCACAATATAGAAAAAAAATTTAAAAAAAACAGAAAAGGGAAGGGAGGAGGAAAAAACTATTAGTTGGGCAAGGTGGCACACATCCATAATTCCACTTACTGAGGTTGCTGAGGCAGGAGAATTTTCAAGTCTGTGCCTAGCCTGGACAACTTAGTGAGACTCTGTCTCAGATAAAAATTTTTAAAACTCTAGGGATATAGCTCAAAAGTAGAGTACGACTGGATTCAATCCCCAGCATGGAAGGCAAAGGTGGAAAAAACAAACAAACAGATATTTTAACAACAAAAAAATTCAGTAAAACCTTTAAAAATTGCTCTGTGCCAAGTGTGGTGACACATGACTGAAAATCTCAGCACTTGGGCCTGACCTGAGTTCAAGACCAGCCTGAAATGCACAGCAAAACCCTGTCTCAAGGACTGGCCAGAAAGCTCAGAGGACTAAAGCACCTGCTTAGACGCAGGGGCCAGAGTTTGATCCCAGCCCCACCCCTGAGCTGACAGCATTTGAGACAGGGCGTGGTGGCACGTGCCAGTAGTCCCAGCACTTGTGAGGCTGAAAACAGGAGGATCACTACGAGTATGATCTGTGTGAGACCCTGCAAACCCTGTACTAAATACATAAAAAAAGAGAGACAATCTCTAAAACCTCATCCTTTCAACTATATTATCACTTACCATCTTACCATCATTTTAAAAGTCATATACCAAATATTCCTATGGCAAGCAAACAAGTCTAATAAACTTAAGAATATATTTACTTCTCAGACCAAAAAGCTACAACTCTTGTTGCATAGGTCCTGCTTTACCTTGGTCTTAACCATCCAGTAGAAAAGTATGAAGTCGAAATATAAGAAATAAAGCCATGCTGTTGGGTTGAGCTGTGGGGGACTCAGGTCAATAATTTCTGACATTGCCAGTTAAATATAAGACCCAATGCTATTATGGGCTACTGGACTCTTTTAGAATATTTTGCTGAGTTTACACACCTATAATATTCAATAACGGAACTTAGAACAATTGGGGTATACCGATGAATGTCCATTTTGTATCTGTGTATTCAAAGAGGTTGGGTAGATATATAGTTGCATTCTCTTAATGAATAGAATGATTTGTTCTAATGGTGTTTGTAAATGGGATCACAAGTCCGCATCTTGTACAGCAATTAACCACTAAGAAGAATATACGCAGTGTATTATTTGTTGAAACTGTCCTTCCGATATGATTTGAAACTGTCTCATTGCTATCTGTTTGTCAATAAAACTTTGAAAAAAAAAAAAAAGAATATATTTACTTCATTCTTAGTATGCTTTATGAATTAAAATAATCCTATTGTCCAAAATAAAATACAAAAATCCATTTTAGGTTTGACAAAAAAAGGTCAAGTTCTAAGTCCGGCATATGCTAAAAGTAAAATCCAAATAGTACTTACATACACCTAGAATCCAAAGGTAAACAAATTTGACTAAACACAATGTTCTTAAAATGGCGGGGGAACTATTTGCTTGGGTCCCCCTCCTGTCCCTCTCTTGGACAGGAGCTTTCTGTCTCTCAATAAATATATTCTGCTCATAAGCTCCGTTTGTTCCTAAAATTCATTCTTCAGTTTTAGAGAACACAAACTCGTACAGGTCAGGTCGGGAGGTCATTTTTATGATTTGGAGGTCACCCACCCGAGATCAGTTTTTCTCCCTGTATCATTTTGGAGGTTTCCACCGAGATCATTGGACGGAGGTATGAGTTTGCTTTTCTTTCATGAATTCTGGATTGGGCCTTGCTTAGGTAACCAATTTTTATGCTTCAAATGTTAATGTTTTTGCCCACTGCTCATAATTAATTGTTCATACTTTGTCTCGTACAGTTCTGTCTCATAACACTGTTAAAATTGTTTACAACTGCTTATGCTTTGTCAGTTTTACCTGAGCAATGGTGCTTGTAATCCCACTAGTTGACCATAGTTCTGTCCCACCTCCTGCCTACCTAAGCAAGTTCCCATTCTCTCTACCTTAGCCCCACATGGTTTTACACTATAAAAGTCCCTGGAAGAGACAGCTTCCTGGGGAACTACCCATTCAGGGCCCCCTCCTGTCCCTCTTTTGGACAGGAGCTTTCTTTCTCTCAATAAATATATTCTGCTCATAAAAATAAATAAATAAATATAAATAAAATAAACTGGCATTCAACAACAATTGCAGAGTATTCATAAAATACAGATTTTAATTTATTCAGGTAATGGCTGATAAGTGCATACGCATTGGCACTATGTTAAACATTTAGTAACTGTCTTTCAAGTAACACAATAAGGCAAAAATTAAATATGATCATACAGTAAACACCTCTAAAACCAGATACTGCTCATGAAATGGCAGAAGCCCATAATATAAGATTTCCCTCTTCACATTTTATAATGAACCCTTCTACTTAAGAATCTTCAGCCTGTGATTTTAAAAGCTTAAAATTTCATTCTGTCTCTTACAAAAACTGCTGATTAGACCAAACTTTCCATTTTTCATAAGCAATTTAATCACCAAAACAAGTCAGACTCCTTATTATTACCACTTTGTCACAAACCAACTCATAAAGAAGTCAATATATAAACTTCTGGTTTAAGATCTAAAATAAATATATTTAGATTATATATCTAACTACCCTAAACTTGAGCATAAAGTTGTACATATTATTTCTGTAACAAGAAAAAATTAAGTATCAAACTACTTTAAAATTTGAAGTATTTACCTTGGAAAAAGTAAACTAAAACCAAATGTTCTTAAATACACACCAGCATTTTCCAAATCCACTCACTTACAAATGAGTTACAAATGTGAAAATACTAAGTGCCAATCTACATCAAACTAGCTTATATCAACAATGTAAGAGTATTCTTTTCCATTTGAAGAGGGTCTTTTATTCTTATGTCCATTAAAAAAAATCACACCTTTTTACTACATTAACAATATTTTCTTAAAGAATTACAAATCAAGTATGAGTAATTATACAATATTCATTTTTAGTCTATTAAAAATTAATCACATCTTTTAAGTAAAAATATAAGCAGAAAACAAGCCAGAGGAAGATAGATTAGTATTTAGGCAAGGTTTTAGTATTTTAAATCAAAAGTCAGTATTCTCAAACAAATGGTATATAACATTTGGCCACTAGAAAAATAATATACCATTAGCATCACTGGGGGAAAAAATTTGCCAAGACTATGCAAAACTTCAAAACTGTTCTATATAAAGGAGAAAAGCTGATGCAATCATTACTTACATGTGAAGAAATCAATTAATGATATGTAGCAAAAAATTAAAATTGCTGAAGTCACCTAAAGATTTCACCAGATGACGATAGTTAACACATGCAAAAGAAAAAACACTCCTATGGTTTCAAATTGCATCTTATCAGTTGCAATGGGTAAAACCATATTCACAAATATGGCATTATTTTAAACCCACTTCGAATTAATACTCTTTATTATTGAAACTTTTTCTGTATTTCCATGCCACCTTTTATTTATTAAGAACTTAATTTTACCTAAAAAGGCAAAAATAATTTTTAAATTAGTTTCTATAGTTGATGTGCTATATATTTAGCAACAAATCCACTTACTTTTTTCTCTTTCTCATGATGTTTATCCTGAGAGTGAGAAGAAGAATCACTTAAACTTTGATCATATGACCTATTAGATCCCCGTTTGCTCTTTTTCTAAAAAAGAAAATATATATATATACATATATGTATATGTATATAAAATTTTTGAAGAATTTTTCTGTTAGGTTTAACTAATGCAACTGTGAAGTATTTTCAAATGTTTACTAAAATTAAAAACTCATTTTTCCATTGATATAATCCAGTTTAAACACCATCCACTGTACTATAAAGAAAAAAAACCTAAATTTAATATTAATGCCATATTTTTGTATATTTATTAACATGCGTGAAAATAGATTATCTATTTTCTATGTCTGCTTTTGGGGGCAAAAAAACATTTGAACCAAAAGAGAAAATGCCATATTAAATAAGGATGCCAAGACTAGAAGAATAGCAAAAGTAAATATTTGAAGAGTTACTTTATGCCACTAGTAAAGCAAGCTTTTAATCTTACACTTTCAGTATTTCTGCGGTTCATTGAGAAAAAAAATTAAAGGAAATGTCAGTATTAGACCCATGCATTTTCAAAGCATTACTAAAAGCATCACGCACTGCTATTTAAATTCTTACACCACTGTAGAATGAAGTATGAAGATGAAAGTTATGTGGGATGTTTAAAAGTTGGTGGCATACCTAATTAATTTAAATACACTGAAAATAACTATAAGATACAGCAAGATTTATGCAAATCCAGGTAATTCAATCTTGTTAAATTATTAAACACACTCTTTCCCAACTAGTAAAGGGGTAACACTATCAATAATTAGCAGTAAGAAAATTCTGCAGTACAAACTTCAAAATCAATTTTATATTTTATAAGTATCATCATTCACTTAAAAAAAATCAAACCTCTAATAAGGTTTTAAACACCCATAAAGAATAATTTTCAGCTTTATGAGCTCAAAATTACTCTTAAAACAGTTAAACATCTTTTTGTCATTAAAGGCTTTAACATCAAATGATACAAACACACTTCACTTGTAAGCACACTCATGAGTCGCTTAACAGAATACATGATAGGAAATGTGCTACTAGGTGACCTCACCATTGTATGAACATTACAGAGTATTCTTGCACAAACTCTGAAGGTGTAGACCCCTTGACACACTCAGGCTATGCAGTATAGCCTACTGCTTCTAGGCTATAAACCTAGACAGCATATTAATGTATGGAATACCCTGGCCACATTAACACAATGTTATCTGGATATCTAAGCACATAAAAGATAAGGTAGACATACTAGACAATGTGAATTTTTCAGCTTTCTTATAATCCTACAGGACCACCATCATATATACAGCCCATCAGCATTATGGAGCATATTCCATATGGATGAGCCAAAACATGAGTGGCATGAGTTGCTTCTCTCATAAAGAGATGGATGCCTAATAACATTATTCATTTAAAAGAGTGAAACAGACTCATTCACAAAGGGAAAGTAATCATTGGAACAGACACTAAAAGAAAAACAAGTCTTAAAAGTCATTGTATACTGCTTAGGCAAGCACAGGGACCAGGTTTCAATCCCTAGTACCACATGCCACACTGGCCCTGCCCCCAGGCATGCTGGTGCCACCAAGACCGGGCATGGTGGAGCACACCTGTAATCTCAGCGCTGTGGAGGCTGAAAACAGGAGGATCACTACGAGTCCAAGCTGTGTAGTGAGACCCTGTACCAAATATATTGGGGGGGAAAAAAAAACCTTCAATGTAGAAAAATATATCATTAAAGTAAGAAAACAAGACACTTGAGACATTCACAAAATAAGTGATCCTCCAAAGGAACTGTATTTTTACACTAATATGTAGCAATCAATCAAATGCTACTAACTCAATCATCAATGTCACTGTGTAACAGCAAAGCTTGACTAAATCTAAAAAATTCCCTAAATTGGATTTAAATATATTCCCTCAAGGTCTTTCAATCAAGCTACAAAACAGCTTTACTTCAGTTTTACTATTTCCCAATACCTAAAAATGAAAATAAATAATAAACAATGAAATGGGTTATAGTAATGAAACAAAGAGACCAGTGATAATGCATCAATAAAAAAGCTTATGCCAAAAAGCAAAATAACTGAAAATAATGGTAAAATAGTCCTTTATAAATTAGTTTTTCAACTAAATGTATAGCAGCATCTACTATCAACTAATTATATATATTCTAGACTAGAATATCCACCTTTATAAAAGGAGTAACACAAGAAAATCTATATTACTAGATCTCTTTGTTTCCAATAAAAAGCATGCTAAACGAATTTAATCTTTGGCAAAAATCAAAGCAAAAGAAACTGTTATTATGCCTTTTTATAATGGTGTCAAGTGTTGTCAAAACAAATTATTACCACTGTTTCAATGTAAAATTTAAAACTTATTCTTACCAGCTTACTAAAATGGTATTTACAGTAGCCACAATATTGGACGTTATCTGCACCATTACCTTCTTCTTCACAAAGTAATCCAGCAAATTGAGCACTGCAAGTAAAGGCCAACTTCATCAGTAAAAACTCAAACTGTAGTATACATAAGCAAACAAAATTTACTTCTAAGCATGAAATACTTGAAGAAAAAAATACATCATCTAAGAAATAAAAAAGACAAGACTGGGCCTGGTGGCGCACGCCTGTAATCCCAACTCTTGGGAGGCTATAAACAGGAAGATCACTATGAGTCCGATCTAGGAGTGAGACCCTGAATACCCTGTAGACCCTCCTCTAAAATAAAATTAAAAAAAATTTTTAAAGACAAAAACTTTTATTATAGGTGTCACCTCAACCTACAATTTTTTAAAATGGTTGAAAATAATTTTTTTTCAAAAAGAGAACAGACAAAGGAAACAAAGCTTGTATAAATAAGGATAGGAAGAATGGTTGAATAGAGGAGAGGGGAATGGGGCGAAAAAAACAGCAAATTATATCATGTGCAGGTACAAATTCCCTACAGTAAATGTGATCATTATGTGTAACAAAACAATACTGATTAATTTTTTTTAAAAAATAAACTTTCCCGGCATCTCTCTCAAGGATGAAAATGACTGCAAACTTATGTCACCAAATAGACATTAATGCTTCTGTAAGAGAGAGGCACGATGTCATGCACCTATAGTTCTAGCTACTTAGGAGACTAAAGCAGGAAGATGACTTAACCCAGGAATGTGATACCAATCTCCCCACCTTAAGACTCCATCTAAAAAGTAAGTTTCCCCCTCAAAATTAAAAATTTATTGTATACTTTCAACTTGTATCATAGGTGCAAATAAAAGTGAAGCCACTGTACATGGCTAAAACAACATGTACACAGGTTGTATACTCTTAAAAGGAAAAATGCTTTCCCTCAGGGCTAATTTTGAGGCTTTAAATACTGAAAAGTCATAGCATAGCAAAAAGGACAAACACAAAATTGGGCTTTTTAGTTATAAACAGTGGAAATGGAATTGAATCCTGAAGTTCTGATATTTGGGCTGAAAGATAAAGTGCCAAACTTTATAATCATCATCCTGTCAATCTGACCTTTCACATTTTCAACAGTCCAAAAACACAGTATTAGTTCAGATCCCATACCCAAACAGAAGTTTCATCTTTGGAAAATTAGGAATAGCAATCAAGAGACATTATTAAAAACTAAAAAATCTTCTCTACACTCCCCAAAAGGTGGTCTGAAACATATTTCATATATCCAAACACTAACAGCTTCACAACTATGCATGTGCCTAAAATTGCTATTTTTTAGGCACAGTCTGACTGTTAAAATTAGTAAGTACATGGACTATTCCCAAACTTTTATTTGGATTGGGGATGGGGAGAGTTGCCCAGGTTGGCCCTCAATTTTGGGGCTCAACAGTTCTCCATCCTAAGCCTCCCCAAGAGCTAAAATGCTGGGACTACACATGTGAACCACCACACCCAGATTATCTTGCTTTAAATAATTTTCATCACTGAAATTTTATGATGTAAAGAAATCTAAGTAATTTTTTGAAAAGTAGTCACTGTATCACTGAGAATACTGTTGAGTGCATTACTTTTCCCTTGAGACAAGTGAAGAAATACTATCATTCACTGAAGCCTTACTAGTGTTTCAGATACTACAAAGTTCCACTGTATCAGCTCTTTCAATCTTAGCAACAAATCAAAGGGTACATAAACAACAACATTATCTTTAACAAGATGAAACTGGAGGACCTGGGATCCAGCTCAGTAGCAGACTGCTTTCAAGTATAAAGTGGAGTTCAATCCCTAGAACCTAAAAGGGGGTGGGGGATTTGAGACTAGAGCTTACAGATCTTGCATTAGAACCAGGATCCACTTATTGAAAAGCCAGTCTCATATATACAGTCAGTTCTTTATAGAACTATCTTTTTTGTCAGTTAATAAATCTTTTCTTTCTTTTTTTCTTTTTTTTTTTTTTTTGTATTTGGTACAGAGTCTTCACAGCTCGGACTT